GTATGTGAGGTGCTTTCGTGATATTTAATGGATCGGATTACATTTTTTATTTTTCTCCGATATCCGATCCAGTAATTTAGGTCAGTATCGGACCGATACCGATACGTAATATCGGATCGGTCCATCTCTAGTCTCAACTAAAGAAAGGGGAGCAAATGTGTTTTTGTCACCAGGCTGCAAATAACAAAGTGCCAAAAGATATTGTTTAAAAAATGGTTCTTTGCTAAATTGTCGATGTGTAGACACAACACTCTTTCAACTTGAACTCCCTTGATGCATTTTTTTTATGTTTAATGATTAATAAGTCAGTGTTAAGTGTCTTAACAAACAAACATACTTCCAAAAATGATAAAAGGACAAGGATGCGTGAAAAAGCAGCCAATGCCCAAAGATAACCTTGACAGTCCTCTAGAAAGCCCAGAAAACTACTGCTCAACAACACTTTACAAAAATTTTAAGTCTGATTTCCTGGAATTAAAATATAAAGAAATGAGGGGTGACTTTAGCACATCCATCCATTTTTGCTGCTCATCTGGTTTCGGGGGCAGCAGTCTAAGCAGAGAAACTCAGACTCTCCAGCAAGTCCTAGTCTGCCCCAGGGCCTCCTCCCAGTAGGACGTTCCTGGAATACCTCACCTAGGAGGTGTCCAAGAGGCATCCTAGTCAGACCACCTCATCTGGCTATTTTCGATGTGGAGGAAAAGCAGCTCTGCTAAGAAGCCCTCTCAAATAACAGAGTTATATCTAAGGGAGAGCCCAGCTACTCTTTGGAGGAAGCTCATTTCTGCCGCCTGTATCCAAAACCAGAGCTCACGACCATAGGTGAGGGTTGACCAGTAAGTCAACAGCTTCACTACTATATAATATTTAACTCTTCCCCCCCCCATAAAGACAACATTTGACCTCTCGTGTTCCCTTCATGATGAGTTTTGATACATCAGTTCATATCAGTAAAGATGTGGTTTGATGACCTCACTAACTTTTCATATCCACACCCGGTTATTTTCTTATACAAGGATGCATGAAATATAAAACAAACCACCAGTTCAGAAACATGGGTTAATTCTAGAAGATTATTTAAAGGGAAGAGTTAAAATTTCTATTTCTCCAATCAATTCAAAAATAAAATATTTCAATTAAACAGAGACAAAGAAAAAGTCTGCACAGCTTTGTTTGGGATTTTAGCTTGGCGGAAAAAACCCCTTAAATTTCCCTCTGGAACCGGTTTCCTGAGATGAGATGCAATATATATTTAAAAGTTGCTGCGAAAACACACCTGATAACTGACCACGTTTTAAGTTAAACCACAATTCAAACTCAGCTGATTTGAGTAACGTGTTGTTTCTAATTTCTTTTTCCATTTTAGTCTCTGTCATCCCTGCAGTTTCTGGAGAAGTTGGATTTGAGTTTTAACCGGCTGCGGTGGCTCCCTCAGGACTTCTCTCAGGGCCTATACTCCCTCCAGGAGCTCCGGCTGAGCAACAACCTGCTGCAGCACTTAGACTCCAAATCACTGGAGGACTGTGGCAGCTTGAGGAAACTGGACCTCAGTTACAACCACATCCGAGGACTGGACATCAAGGCTTTGAGCAGCCTGTCTCGACTGAGCTTCCTCAACATGGAGGGAAACAGGCTGAATGTTCTTAAAGATGGCCAGCTGAACAGGCAGCAAACTTTGGAAGTCCTGCTGCTCAACTACAACAACATCTCAAAGATTGAGGCTGAATCTCTGGCTCCCTTGCGAAGGCTCTCTCTGCTAGGTCTCAAGGGAAACCAGCTAGAGCACATAAGGTTCAAGACCTTCCTGAAGCTCCAGACAACCAGCACCTACCTTCAGATGTCCCTCAACCCCTGGATCTGTGACTGCGAGCTGCAGCGCATCTTCGGCAAGATCAACCATGTGCGACATCTGCACGTAGAGGACTACAAGGACATCATCTGTCACGCTCCCGCTCAGCTAGCCGGAAGTCTCCTGGCTTCGATGGACAGCCAGCTGTGTATAGCTGAGACTGCCTCAGTGCTCGTCATCACCATCACCGTGATGCTCGCTGTGATTGGTGCTCTGGTAAAAGCGGAGCGCAACCGTAAGAACAAACAAGCCTCAAGTGAAGCAGAGTCCCAGGGACAAGAAAAGTGATACTTTTTGCTCATTAACAGGAACTCTAGGACTAATATGTGACCTGATTCTGGATGCTGAGCAGCAGACAAGTACAAATTATCACATTCTATTCTGTTTCAATGCTCTTTAAAGCTTTTTATACTTATGAAGCAGGCACTGTAGGAAAAAGGAGAGAAATCAAAGTGGAAATGGCTCATGTAGTAGCATAGTAAACAATCCAAATTTACCCATATGTTCTGGGTAACATGAACATTAAGTGTCATCTTGTATACTTGCCTAAAGAATTTTTTAATGAGACGCAAACTTTGTCTTAATCTACAGATTACAGCAAAAGAGCGCGAGTAGGGCCTAGAGAAAAGCCTGAGCACTATTCCGGTGCGTGTAGGACTCATTCAACATCAGGCTACCTCCGAACATTTTTGAAATTCCCTTTACTGGTCTGACGACACAGCAACATCTCAACCCCTTTGAAAACTGGTTGGTCTCCAGTACCTGATCTATCCTTTTTGTCATTGACCTTTTTTAAAAGAGCTAAAACATGTAACATGTTCCATATGGGATGGGACATCATATTACACTGGTTTTATTGTTGATGGGTATTTCATGTAAATATTGTATGAAGAAATCTTTATTTTAGCAATGGTGGCCAAACCTATTGCAAAAGTTCATAGCAAACCACAAAACATTAGTCATTAGTAAAAACATAAAACCAACATATGACTAAAAAAAATGATTGAAGTCATTAATGGAATAAATGGAAGCTCAAAGGTGAATCTTCTTTAGCTAAGTATAAAAACACATTCAGGTGTTTTCTTTGTGTTGAACTACATGTTGGTTTAGACACTGACACAAGCCACACATTAAATATAAATCCTCCAAAAAGGGTTTATGCATATTTAATCACACATCCTGGTAATTATACCTCCTAAACACACTGCACAGTCTTGGACATGAAGGATCTGTTACATTCAGCCTTTCTTCCTTGTTAACTGAATGTTGAGCCAAATTGGGCACATCATAGAAAACAAACTGCAGCTTTCAGTAAAATGAAGTGACTTGAATACCCATGTAACTAAACAGTTATTTCATATAAAATGTAAGCAGTTAAAAAGTATTACAGCTGTAGACATATAAAAGACGGACTGGGTCTAAAAAGTGAAGCCAATTGAGTTTGTAAATTTCGGAAGGAGAATAATGAGTACACTTATTTGTTAAGGCTTATGATTGACAACCCATTAAACAATGAGAGTGCTGTTTCATAGTCAGACCTGCTGCTTCTAATAACACAATGGTGAAGGTAAAAACGCGTATCTGGAAGCTTTAAAGCCAGCAGGAGACGTCACATTGCCAAGCCCACCTTTTACACCATCTATGATGTCAGACAGGACTACCCATTGAAAGACTGCTTTAAACATGGTGTTTATTCCCAATAGGCCAGCATAGTCATTCCACTTCAAAAGCAATATCACATAAGACGTGCAACAAATTAAAGGAAAAACCTGAACCTTTGACCCTTCCCCTACAGTGAGGGGTGGGAGTTAATTAAACTTTTTATAGGAGTTCTAAATTGGCTGCAGGTGTGAGTGGCATACCCCGCCCCTCGCTCTCACCCAAAGTCAGCTATGACAGGATCCAGTTCCAACCTCTGGTTGGTGGTTAAGAAAGACAGCTGTATGTATGTACGTACAGGAGAGCTGATGTTTTAAGTTGGTGCTCTGCAAAAACCAAATCACAAAATTAGTGAATAATCTCTTAGGTTAAAGCTGTTTATTACAGAGACAGCTGGACTGAAGCTGTTCTGGCTCAACATGTTGCTAAGCACAGATTGGCAATTAATCAAATTATACTTTCAGTTATCATTTTGGCCTTTTCTCGGATTGGTCTCACTGCTGTGTGGTATTTTGCACAGTACTGCTGGTTGTGGAAGAATTTATCAAAAATGATGCTTTTGTTGACAACTAAGATAAGAACCACCTAGGATAATGCATCTCAACTTTTCTTCAGGTCAAGAAGGGCTTTGGAATTAAGTCAAATTTATATTCTGGCTTCTAACAATTACAAAAACAAGGTAACGGACATAAAACTATTTGTTTGTGTTGTTCCTTTGCAGCCGTGCACTTTCATCCCTCTCTAAAACCCCAATCAAGCTGTTGCTTCATGATGCCTTTTTCCTTTAATTTGTCACCCAGCAATTTTTCCCTTTTTTAAAATCACGTATTTAAACCATCCACTGTAAATAGTGATTGAAATCATTAAGACCTCTTTTAAAAGTTCCCAGTAGGTTTGTAGTAATAACACTCCCTGTCAAGCTTCAGAGCATATCAGAAACAAAAATGTAAACATAAATCCAAATAAATTATTAACATTTAAAAAGCAAGGTTGTGTTTTTTCTTTTTCCTTGCAAAAGCAAAGTTACAAACTGGATAATCGATGCAGCTTACATCCAACCGTCTCAGCAGTGACTGTTTTTAATCCTGAGGCGTCATCGAGTGACGGCAGCTTTGAGTACAGAGTTGGGCCACGATGAAAAGGCCAACGACATCTTCCTCTGGTGCACACACCTTGGTCTGTAAAAGCTGTCTGAGTGTGTGACTGTTCAGCCATCAGTGGCTAGGATCAGTACAGCGGCGAAGATGCCCACATTATGACCTATCAGCTTCATCTGGTTCCAGAACTCCACCTTCCGAGTGTGGTGCCAGTAACCAATGTTACCATCGATGAGCAAGATAATAAGAGGAAGGATGGTGGCCAGGATCTGAGCAGCCAGGCGGATGTAGCAGCCGGAGAGGAAGGCCAGAGCCAGGATGCCAAACACCACCTCCAGCAGCATCAGAGTGACCTCTCCCCCAACGATGTGGTTCAGATAGACCTGCCTGTCCTCTTTGCTGTGCTGGAGGGAGTAAACCTAGTGGGGAGAAAATAGCACTGCAGTATTTGAACTAAAAACAAGGTCTGATCAATAAAATGTTACTCAGAAATTTATGGAATATTATTATTATTTCATATAAATGATTATCTGGTTTGTAGAAATTAATTTCAAGTAGCTAATTTCATGTTATTTGATCACAGAAAGAATTCTGGTCAGACTCTGAATCTAATTTAACAAAACAGATCAATTCAAAAATGACCAGTACGCACAGTTTTGTCTAAGCAGCACTAAAAAGATATACACTTAGTTTATAAAGACACTAGGGAAAATAAGGAACATCTTATATTTAAAACCTATTTAGTTCACAATGGCATTGAGTGAAAATAACAAAACTTCACACTTAACAATCTAGGTCTGGGTCGTTGTGGCAGCTGTCTAAGCCAAGATTCCCACACTTGCTTCTCCCAGGCAACTCCTTCAGCTCTCCTGGGAGGACACTAAGATTTCCCTAACAAGCTAAGAGACATTATCTCTCCAGTGTGTCTTAGGTCTGCCCTGGGGTCTCCTCCTAGTAGGACATGCCCAAAACACCTCACCTAGAAGATATCCTAGTCAAAAACCTGAACGACATCAACTCATCGCCTTAGAGACACTGATGTCTCTTCGCAGTCTCTCTAAGGCCAAGTCAAGACACCTTTCAGAAAGAGCTCATTTCCACTGCTTGTATCCACAATCTTATTTCTTTAGTCACTACCCACAGCTCATGAACAGGTAAGGTAAGGAAAGGAAAGTAGATTGCTAAATAAACTGCTTTGCTTTCACACTCAGCCTCTCCCTCACTGAACACACTCCATGTGTCAATCTCCTGCTACACTCTCCCCTACTTGTGAGCAAGACCTGGAGATTCCTAATCTCCCCAAAGTGGACTATAGCCCAACTAGCTCTAAAATCTATAGAAGTGAAACGTGTCTTACCATGCAAATGAGATAGACTCCCAGAAAAACTTGTCCAGTAGACTGCAGGGATCTGCTGCGTGGTTTCTGTCTGTATACTTCCCCTGCGCCGCTGGCCAGAATCAGAAAGCCTCCAATAATGGCCAGCGCTCTGGAGTACATTCGCACCTGTAGTGAAAAAGATTCAAACTGTCACAATCTGAGGCAAGTTCCTACCACCGTTGCTCTGATAAAGCAATCTACTCTGACTTGTAGTGGTGGCCCAGATCCAATTTCACCGCCATGTGTGACACAGATCCACTTTTGATTAATAGCTCAAAGACTGATCCGGGCCATTGTTTGATTTAGTAGAAGTTTAACCTCCATCAGTGGTCAAAAAATGAAATTTATTACATTCAATGAGTATCAGATATAAACAAATATGTGCTCAAAAGTACTAGAGTTCATGTGTAGTGCAAAAAGACAACCCAAAAATAAACATCTCGAAGAACATATTACTGCATGTTGACACCATGCATGTTATATATTATCACTTCATACTGGTGTCAGATATTACATTGAATAAAATCTGGCAGGTAATGGTGACGCAGAAGATCTGCTATGGCAACTACTATAGGGAGCAGCCAAAAGATTATTCAGAGGGTCCTCGTAGGTTTTATTCATAGACAGGATTCTTCAGAAAGTGGGAGAACCAGCAGAATCCCGTCTCCAGTCTCTCCACAGAAAGAGACAATGATACAGTCATAACAAAAAAGAAAAATTTGGGTTTTCAAGTATTCTCTATCACAGACTAATTTATTCCTTTTCAAACCAAACTGTTCCATTTCACCAATCTTCTGAACTATTTTTATCCACTCAGAGGTTGTTAGAGATTGCTTATTTAAACACTTATTAGTTATTGCTGTCCTACTTTTAGTTAACAATATAAATATAACAAAAGCTGTCTTTTTTTCTTTTTAGCTCAGGTAGCACATTCACTAAATAACACTAAAATTAAAGTTAATCTGTTTAGCTGACAATTTAATTTATATCTGTGAACAGAACTTACTTTTCTATCAAATGACGTCACTCACCTTAAGCCATTCCCCATAATACACCTGCTCTCCAACGTATGATGCGTAAGTACTGATGGCAAGCTGTACGGCAGCAGCCAAAGCAAACCACCGTCTCTTCACCCCAAATGACATGAAGCTGGCACAGATCACCGCAGCGCCCATGTCCACATACAGGTACGGTATGTGGATATCTGGCTTCCTGTAGATTGTTGGGAATTAAAAGCGTGTCAGTGGGTCAGTTTTCCCCCGCCTCAGAATAAACTTTTGTGTTACGTTATAGATTTACATTTATATTTATACATTTTCCGTGGAGCAGCTGTAATTACAGGATGGTTCAAAGGGGTGTGGTTGTCCACCACAGACTGAAAAATACACACCCAGTATCAACACTGAAACGACGACCAAGAAAGAAAATTACAGCCTACCCTATCTAAAATTACAGACGAGGCTAAAGATAACACGGCTTCTTAATTTAAACCACTTCTTCAGCCCATCAACTTTCGGCATGGGTGTAATTTCTGCAATTCAACTCACATTAGCTAGCAAGCACATTCCCACATTTAAGATAAAAGAAAAAAGGTTGCTTCGTGTAACTTTATCCTTTAAACTCAACCTTTTCAGCCATAACAATTTTCAGCTAATACTTCTCCAATAACATGTTTTAATATTTAGACTATTTTTTCCCTCAAAGTTTGACTCGATCTTAAAGTAGCAGGTTGTTAGCGCGTCAGCTAACTTGAGCTAGCTCTCTCGTTCTTTCTTTATTTACCTTTTCGAGTCCGCTCGTTCAGCAAAGAGCATCAGCATGCTGAAGCAGTTCCAAAATCCAAACCGGGTCAAAATAAACGCCCCCACTTGGCTTAGAAACCTCAACATCTGCTTCCTACTGGGACCCGCCATCGTTGCTGCTGCACATCTAATCGCCAGCGATACAGTATCGGATACATCATTAACTTCCGGGTAACAATATGTTCACGTGTCGAACTAAAAGCATATTTTTCAGCTATTATTTTGAAAATATTTTTTTCCTGTCTTCCTATTGGCTGATGTGACAAACAGGTGGATTGGGCCACCGGTGTGGCCCAATCACTGTACTGCCGGGACAAAAGCTTTTCGACAGCTCTATCTGCAGGAAATGATTCGTAATTACAGAAAGGATTAGAGGTCATGAGAGGAAATGATAGTTGACCTCCATTCCTCTAAATAGAAAAGGCTTGGATATCTTTCTCCAATTAAAAAAAGATCGTCTTTTAATATTGATTCATTTTTAGTGAATTCATTAAGGCATTCATAAATTTTTCTTCAATAAAACAAGAAAGATTAGGCGACTTAACGTCAAGTCATCTAGTATCCCTTAACAATAACTATGCAAAAATATTTGTAAATATTTTCTTTTCTTTTCTTTTTATTGAAAACTGAATTTGTATACACCCCCAAAAAGCTTGTATTTAATAGATTAACGCTGTTGCTTAAAAGCATTAAGTTTTATGTTGTATAGTTGTATAGTTTACACATATTAACTTTTTATATTCAAAATATAAAAGCAAATATTTAGTGCGAGTCTTACTAAAATATTTATTTATATATAATACAGTAAATATTCTATATAACCTCTTTGGCTCTGATAAAAGCCTCAGTAATTTATATTGTCAATTTATCAGGCCCTGTTGCATCTTAAAGACTTCATAGTATCATATTATCCTAATAAAGCATTTGCTCTATTACTCTAATACTGCTCTAATACTGTAAGGTCTGTAGCTTACAATATAAAGTGCCAGGAGGTAACTGCTGTTGTAAATTGTGCTACATAAATAAACTGAATTGAATATTTTTTGTTTTTACTCTTGATTGTTTATTGTACTAAGGTAGCCAAAATCAAAAATTAAAATATCTTTAAACTTGATTCTGGTTTCATTCAATTACAATTATTATTTTTTTAAACTTGATACTTAATTTCCAACTTATAATTCATGTATTTTTTGTGTAACTGTGGAATATAAATTAGCGGTTTGTTAAAACTCTTCCAATCCCATAAAAATGCTATGAACACACCAGTGACGGTCCTGCTCATTAACAAGTGTTCATAACAAAAGAAATATTCAAAAAACAATAAAATAAATTGTCAAAGCCACCAGTGACAATAACAAATACCTGTAAATGACATTTAGCACAGCTGTTTTGCAGTAAAAATGAACTCAAGGTGGGGAAAAAGCCTCTTCACAATGAAAAGGAGTGTTTCTGCTCTGCTGCTAATCCACAGTGAGGTTAATCTTGAGTAAATGAGACTAACCCAGATTCTGATAATGGCTTAGTGTGAGTCCTACTGAAGGTTTAGTGGAGGCCAATTAGCTTTCCATGTCTGTCAGATGTCAGTTGGAGGTGATGGGAACAAAGCGGTGAAAATGTTAATGCTTCCAGATTGAGTGACGGCAGCTAAATGCTATCACTTTAAATGAAATGAATGGCTTTCAGTTAATGTTCAATGTGTTGTTTTAATAAATTAATAAAGTACTGCCAATACAAAGCTGAAAATAAACCCACATTTGAACAAAAACGCGTTACTCACCAAAATATATTCTACAGAAACAGCAAGATCAGAAACCCTTCCTTATTGTTTTATGATGATCAGCAATCTCACCCACCTTTGTATTTATTTTCACTTCTGTAACTTATTTCCAAAGTAAAACTATTGTCAGTACTTTAACTGAATTAACACTAATGATAACAGAAATATGCAAATATCCACACATTCTTCACTGAAGCAATGCAGACAAGTGAACAAAAAACATTTTACTTTTTTCTTGTACTTTCTCTGAAGGACATTTCTAACAGCTATTTTTGTGCAAAGCTAACAAGTGATGCCACTAACTGTACTTCTGTCAAAAGCATGTCTTTGTTTTGCACTTGTGTGTACTGCGTATGTTTTTTGCCCTTTTTTCTATACATCTCTCTTCTCTCTACATTTCTCTATGAATCATGCAGATAAGCACAGATGATAGATAAACCAATAAGAAGCCTTTTTATTCCTGCTATTTTGTTTTAAATCACTTTGATGTCAGAAAAGCATGCAGTGATGCAACATAATCAATAACTTTCCTCAAACGAGTTAAAACTGAACTAATGAGTCTGTCATGAATATGTATTGAATAATGATTCTGTAATAACTTCACAGATTCCACCATGGTCTATTTTGCAAGATCAACCTAGAGTATATCTGCAATGAGTCTGTGGTACCTTATATGACACAACTCTGTGCACTGTATTGTTATTCCCAACTACCTGAAATCACAACTATCAGTTTAAACAAACAATAGTTTTGGGTAAAACCTCTTTGGGGGACAGACCACATGTTTCTCAGAGCATATCCTCTGCAAAGGATCTGCTGTTCCCACATCTATCATTTCTATGTCCATATCTCACTTTCTCCAGCATGGCATCAACAAATTGAAAGGATCTGTATTCCCTTGCCTTCCTCCTTCCTGTTTAGGGGTCACAGCTCCTGATTGTTTAATCTCATCATGAGGGATTGGTGACATCAGGCCCAATCCTGTGCCGACCTCATCCAAAAGCCAGCACCGGGGATCAGCTGGGATGAAGAGCAGTGGGGCAGCACAGATCAGTCAGTGAGCAGAAGCGATCGGACTACAGTGAGGCACACAGTTGATGAGCTCTTAGGGGCCAGCACATTTCTCTGACTGTTGGGGACCCCGCCATTCAACAGGTAATGACACTGTTTCTTTTTTTGAAATCTTTTTTTAAAATTGAGGATTTAAACATAACTTTGACTATTAGAAAAATCTAAATACATTAGGATAGTTAGTAAAGTACACTTTTTCAATCTGTTGTGACATTTAACATATTTTGAACTGTAATTTCTTCTCACAGCCAGGATGGCTCGGGATATGTCAGATAAGGAAATCTTGAAAATGGAGCTAGACCAGTTGAAGAAGGAAGTTAGCACACCTAGGACACCAGTAAGTGCCTCTTCTTTTAGCACAGTTAGCTTTAACTTTATCCACCAAAGCCTTTTGTAAACATTTAATTAAGATTAATTTTAAATGACTTGTGCGACTTCCCTGATCTTCTTTGTTTTCATCTTTCCGATAATTAACAGGTGAATGCAAACTGTACAGACACAATTGCTTTTGTGGAGGGACTGGCCCCGAATGATCCGCTGATTAAGGGTGTTCCCGATGACAAGAACCCTTACAAGGGAGACAAGGGCGGCTGCATAATAACATAGCACATAGAAATCCAAGGAAAAGTCACACAGTTTTTTATGAGAGTTGGTTGCATTGCTGTGATATTCCTGTAGCCTTTGTGGATAAAATGTACAGTCGAAAGAAAACTGAAATCTGTAATGGATAATTCCATCACTGGATTTCTGTATGCACCTGTGGATAGTCTTTGTCAATTTATAATTAAATCCAAATAGCTGTGCAAAGCTTCAACCTGACGTAGCTGTTCTTGTTATTGAAAAGACATAACACATGTGATTTTTTTGAGCTCCTACTGTACTTTAATCTCATTTTATCACACTGGTTAATATTAAATAGTGATAACTACTCACTGATTTGCGTCCAATATCCCTGACTGTAAGTCAACATCTCACCCATGTTACTGTACAGAAGGGGGTCAAAGTCCCAAGAGAGTCAGTACTACTAATCGGATTTCTTTGCTGTGGTAGAGTCAGTCACACGGGTCTGTTGACACGGAGCCGCTTCCTGTATCAAAGTCTTTAAGCTTATTCCACACTTCATCCTGACTTCCATTTTGAGCTCTCCATCCAATTAGTGACGCTTTCAGTGCTGGCATCAGGAAATACAATTAAAGAACTCAACATCTGAGTCATCAAAGAACTCAACATCTACCTGTCAAATAGCTTTTTAAAGAGGTTTAAATATTGTAAGAATATTATAATAACACAAAAGATAGATGATGGGGCTGCTGGGTACAGATTACAAATCAGAGTATAGAGACAGAAACTAAAACAAAATACAAAAAAGGAGCAAAAAAGGATTTTTGAAACATAACCTATAAATATATATAATTATCACATAATTTACCCGTAAATAGTAAACAAATTATTGCATGATGAGTTGTTTATATAAGTGTTATTATAAAGAATAAGTAAGATCAAAAGATCAAAAGAAGAATCACTTTTAAATTGCACTTTTAAGTTTTTGTTGTAATTTTAGTGTAATGTAAAATGGGAGAGTGAAAGCATTTTGAAAAGCCTCAACATTGCTGAACATCAAGTACACAGGTGTGGGGTAACCGGAGTTTTTCTGCCTATTATCAAACCAATCAGTCACTCCCTGCTTGGCTGGGTCTCAACTAATAATCAAAACTGTTTAGTATTTTCAGTCTACAAACAGAGAAATCAACAGGTCAGCACGAGTGGAACCAAATCCAAATAAAACTGATAAACACATAGATAATGTATAAAATAGGGGCATAGCTTCTCAGTCTAAAATGTGAAACCTATGCAAAAGTGCCATAAACCTGTTTTCTTTCTAATGGCCAGTAGGGGGTAAATCTGGCACTTTAAGACAAGTAGACTTATTTTTTCAAGTCTAGTCAAGTCTGGTTAAACAGCCCTAGACTGCCATGCTCTCTGATGTCAATTAATACTTTTCTGATGAGTTTATGGTCTGAATTTGTACTTACTAAAGACAATATCATATTTATTTGTACATTTTTGTCACCTTTAATGTCCAGATGGACACTAAATCAGGGTATACTCATGACTGTATAAGCGTCAGTTTTACTTTCACTTGCAATGTTCGAATTCAAAAAGCTAAAATCTCAGCAAATCAGCTACATTCATCTTGTATATGCTGTCTAGAAGGAAGAAAGAACAATTTTAAGAGGTGAGGTGTGTACGAATCAACTGCCCGGGGACCCTCAGTAGAGTCTTCATCAGAGTCTGCAGTCAGAAGAGACCAGCAGCCGGACCCACTCTGTCCTATCGATCTTTTTGAGTTAACATCAATCATTTCTTCTTCTTAAACAACAATGTGCCTTTAAGTCTCCATTCCTATAGGACTGCTGAAAGATGATTAATTTGAAATATGATTAATTTATTTTTATTAACTGGCTACATACCACAGGCTTTTGAGGTGGTGACAATAAAGCCATTACTTAAAAAGGCCTTACCTGATCCAGCTGTGTAAGCTAACTATAGAACAGTTTCTATCCTTCTTTGCATTTCACAAATTCTTAAAAGAGTAGTTTTAAAACAGTAAGCGTATCATTTGCAAAGAAATGGTTGAAAAGCTTCAATCAGGATTTTGAGCACACCATAGCACAAAAACAGCAGCAATGCTTTTTACATTATGCTTCCCTGAAGTAATATTATTAGAAAACACTGTACATATTTTCATTGGTATTTCAGATGTTAACTAGATTCACCTGTATTTCTAATGCTATAACAACTCTTAACGTCTTAAACCCACAAGAGTTACTCAGCCTGCTGAACTGTAAAGGCATAAAACATGACACATGCATGTAAAGTCTAACGCAACTTGTCCACAGTGTATTATCTTAATTGCCTTATCAGATTACAGATATTCAGAATTGCTATAATGTATATGGGCTTCCTGTGAGTTGGTTGCAATAACAAAATGGGATGTTACCTTTAAATTACCACCTGTTATGGGAATCTGAAATAAATTGAGACAACCAGATTGGCTTAATGAATTTGTAACCTTTGTAAAGGGTTCAAATATGGAAGCAGTCTTCATGCTTTTTTTTGACCAAGAAAGGTTGTGAGCCTAGAATGTTCATTACAAGTTATCTGCTGTGGTCACAGGATGCTGTTCGAACACTGTTATAAAAAAAGATCACAGGTGCATCTGAAAGAATAAGGTAAGCTTGACAGAGCAAAATCTCACAAGTCTCCGTTACACATCTCACAAGTGTTACAGTGTTACACAAAACCATCAACATGTAGCGATTATTTACATCTGCATTTAATATTAAAAAAATCCACTTGAAGTTTAAGGCTACATTTCTGTCTGCCACAATTTCAAATTCCTTTCGACCATCGTAGCAACTTGTTGCTTCATTGTGGTTCACCCTATCTGTGGCTGCAGATTAAATCTGTAGCTCAAAGTCGAATGAACGAATGTGTAACTTGAGTGCAAAGTTCATGAGTGGATTACGTTAAGAAAACTAGATCAGCTACAATCCATATATAGCTTCTTTTAAGAGAAATATAACATTGGTGCAGCAGGTCTAATTTCAGTGTTATTAGGCTCATTTTCTTCTATCGTGTAAGAGTCTGACTCTTATATTCACCAGTAATGATTTTTAAAATGCTAAAATTTACTGAAGCAAGTTCCCTCAGATGCCCTGTTGTAAAAACATAAAATTGGACATGAAGTCCAAGAAGACTTCAATACAATATTATCTAAATTGTCTTATCAGATACGAGCAATTACAACTATCTCTATCTAGATTTGCCGTGAACGCTCTAGATTGACTGAATGCAGTTTATGCAATAAAATGGGTTATTGATTTGAAATTAATATCTTTAGTATTTATTCTTTAAAACAATTGGCATTCAGATTCCCCTACACAGTTTCAGTATCTTTAACATTTTAGGAATTTCTTCAAAAAAACAACAACAACAAAACAATTAGACCAGTTCCTAATTTTCCTTTGATGTTTTTGTCTTTGCCCTAAATGAGTGCTCAGCAAAAAAAGCATTACACACCATCGTTATTGTAATCTGTTATCACAGGAAAAATGGGCCTTTCGCCACTTTACTGCTTGTCATAACACATATATCACTACATAGCAATCTCTTGCCCCCTTTTCCCCAGACCTTTGGCATTCAGCAGGATAAAAGGTGCCTCCTCAGGGAGGCGAGTGTTTAGATCACACCTGCAATTGCTGCCGTGTACAATCCTGCTGCAGATCGAGATCCAGAATCAGCGAATTGACAGTCTCTGAGATGTGGCTCTTGATTTTCTTAGTCTGCCTGCTCATATGTGCAGGTAGCACATACTGGTACCTGTTTGGGAAACCGAGCCCCTTCTCGCTCAACTCAGTGAGACCACCTGCACCACGGGAGTTTGATCAGAAGAAGCGCGACAAAGTCATCAAGCAAGGTAAAATGACTGCAGGTGAAAAGAGCTGCATGCAGCATCAGAATAAAGTTGTTCCTGGATAGTCAGAATTCCTGGATAATTAGCCCAGCCTAGAAAGGGAGGGGAACATAAACAACTTTTTATTTTTATAATATCACTTCAAGATATTATGGCCTAACTTTAAAAAAAAAAGTCAGTGAGTCATTCATACAGGAAGAACGAATTCAAATCTTTCTTCAAAAAGTTCATCTTAAGGGTGTGATTATTATATTATGCTCCTCTTTTTATAAAATGATTTTTAACAAATAAAGAGTTCTATATTATATCTATGTTGTACGAAAAGTTTTACATTTAAGCCAAATTATAAAAAGCAAAAATATTCAAAAGCTTAACTGTTAAAAATCAGTTAAACAAAAATTAAAACACATTCTGTTATTAATAAACCATATATTTAAAGAAGTAAAATTGCCACATGGGGGCAGCACGTTTGTTAACACTGGTGCAAACTGTTGCCTCGCATTAAGAAGATTCCTGGTTTATGCTCTAGCTGGAGTGGGTTTCCTCCTACAGTCCAAAAACAAGCCCGTAAATGTAATTGGTGATTCTAAATTGTACATGGATGCTAGAAGGATATAGAATAAAGCACTGTATGAAAGCACACAGTATTTTAGTGCACTAAAATTCCAGTTTCTATGTTAAGCAAAGTTACTGTTACTTTAAAAACCTTTACTTTGCATTGAACAGAGGTTTCTGTGACACCAGTCTGACGAGGTAAAGATTTTACCTTTTATTTAATGCATTATCTATGCATTAAATAAATTCATAGATAATGAATATAGACATCTGAAATGAATTTGCTATAGTCATTATAAGTGCTGATACTGTTATCTTAGTGATCTTAGAGATGAGAAAACTGTCACTAAATAAACCGACTGTTTTTCCATGTGTGTTTTATCTTAATTAGATTACAGCTATTGCTAATGGGAAAACACAGATACCGGCACCAGTTCAATGTTTATGACAAGAGAAGTGCACAACCTTCAGCCTGTATTATGTAACACAGGTTGCAAACGATGCATTTTGACGCCCCAGTTTCAGCACTTGGACACAATAAAATTTATAATGGACTTTTATGATAACGATATGAACTGGAACAAAAATCTTTACTAGGTTAACACCACCATCTGTATGTTTCTGTGCAGGTTTCAGCGTTGACAAAGTGCCCAAGAACCTGGATGTCATCGTCATCGGCAGTGGTATTGGTGGTCTGACGGCTGGAGCCACACTGGCCAAAGCAGGAAAGAAAGTGCTGGTGCTGGAGCAACATGACCAGGCCGGAGGCTGCTGCCACACTTACATAGAGAAAGGCTTCGAGTTTGATGTCGGTGAGAAATCTTCTTTTCCATAACAGTCATTTGGAGAATCATTAGAGATTCATGCTAACAGCTTGAATTACATAAAAAATAACTGACACAGAAAGAATAATGATACAACTAAAGCAATAGGCTGATGATAATCTGGTCTGTCTAGGGTGACAGCTGCTTTTTCAGAGAAAGAGCAAATAAAGGCATGCGCTCAGCCATCATAACCCTACAGTCCTAAAAATCATTCTTTTCTATCTAAAAATGTTCACTTCCTTCATCTTCAGGGCTTCACTACATTGGCCAGCTCCATGAGAACAGTCTGCTGCGTATCGCCTTTGACCAGATCTCAGAGGGCCAGCTGGAGTTTCACCAGCTCGATCAACATTTTGACACCATTCAAATCGGCCTGGGCAACGAAAAACGAGAGTACACCATCTACTGTGGGAAAACTGAGATGAAAGCTCACCTGATGAAGCAGTTTCCTGATGACACAGAAGCCATTGACAAGTTCTTTAAAATCATGAAGGTGTTGTTGTTACTTTATCACTTATTACACACATATTTCAGTCTCAACAGTCAGAAGCTTTAAAAATAAAATGCTTACAAATTCCCATGGTTTTTCAACAGATCTCAGCTAAGAAGACGCACTATCTGGCAACTCTCAAGCTTATCCCGCAGTGGGTGTCTTTATTCCTGCTGAAGTCAGGCATTGCAGACCTCATCTCTCCAGTTTTCCGCCTCTCTGGCACATGTGCAACAGATTTTGTGAACACCCTGACCAGCAACAAGGATCTCCATACCATCTTTTCTTACTTTTTCTATGGTATGAACTCAAAAAGTTATCGTCATAACAGAAAACATAAGATATAATATAGTTATTTATTTCTATTTTTGCCACTGAAAATAAAATGCTTTTGGATATCTAGAAGTCAAAATTTAAGGTTGTTATATCAAATCTTGAGTCAGATATCTCAAAATTTCAACTGAACTCCAACCTGAAAAAAAACTTTTGATTTTGAGTGGCATGGTGGTTAGCACTGTTGACGCACAGCAAGAAGGTCCTGAGTCCAATTCCACCATCATTCAATTCCTGTGTGGAGTTTGCATGTTCTCCCTCCCACCGTCCAAAGACATGCAGCTTGTGGGGATAGGTTAATTGGATAATCCAAATTGTCACTAGGTGTGAATGTGCGAATGAATGTGAGTGCGACTGGTTGTCTGTCCCTGTGTGTTGGCCCTGCGACAGACTGGCGACCTGTCCAGGGTGTACCCTGCCTCTCGCCCTATGACAGCTGGGATAGGCTCCAGCGCCCCACGCGACCCTGAAAAGGATAAGCGGAAGCGAATGGATGGATGGATGGATTTTGAGTTAAGTTGAAAATTGTTCCATATCATGAGACACACAACAAAAGAAGACAAACAAAAAGAGAGAGAGAGACACACATACATAAGCCTTGCTATGTTAAATCAATACCAACAGTAATGTCTTGCCACATCACAGAAGTGTAGATCCAATGTGTCCCGAAGATGGGTGGGAGCTTGGGTTTCCCATTAGTTTTTAGAAATCATATACTGTATATGTGGTACATATTTGGGGACAAGTTAAAAGAGAAAACCATCATAAGGTGTCTGGAATCAGGTGTTGGGACACCAGTTGTCAGAAGATCTTTTTTTTAATGGTCGAGAGCAGTTAAAAAAAACAAAAAAAATCTCTCATCGAGGCTCTAATGAGTAAAAGCGTCATAGCATATGATTTACATCAGTCCTCGAGGTGGACATGGTTACTCCGAACTTGTATTGATTTGCAGTGACACTTCTAGGTAAGGGAAATAGAGGCTGTAATATTATCAGGGGCCCACAATAATAAGACTACAAACCTCGAGATAAATATAAAAAGTTACTGTGCGCAATATGTACTGTATAATAGGGGTATGCAAATCATCAACTTTTTAAAAATTCAGTTACAATTTTGTCTTCTAGCAATTAATCAAACAAGAAAATAACAAATATTGTGCCTCATTCTGTTTTGCAGTAATTCCCTTCCTTTCCTGCTGTCGCCCCTATAAAAAAAAGGCCAATTTCATCCCTTGTGGCAGATTTAGTTCACTTATTCTTTATGTATATAGGTGTGCCACCAAAGGACTCCAGTGTCCTGATGAATGCCCTCATGATTCATCACTACAAACGAGGAGCATACTACCCTAAAGGCGGGGCCAGTGAGATTCCTTTCCACATCATTCGCACCATTCAGAAATATGGAGGAAACTGCCTGGTGAGAGCTCCCGTCTCCCAGATCCTGGTTAATGAAGAGGGAGCTGCTTATGGTGAGAGCAGAATCCACCTCATTTTTAAAATCAGTGTAAGGTTAAGTTATTGTCAAGTCAATAGTGTGTGTTTGTTTGAGATAGGTGTAAAGGTGAGGAAAGGTCAAGAGGAAGTGGAAATTCATGCGCCTGTGGTGGTTTCAAACTGTGGAATCTTCAATACGTTCCAGAAACTTCTACCCCCTGAGATACAAGCCAAACCAGGTGAGAAACTTTACTGAAACTGAGGTAAAGTTGGCCAGAGTGACAAATGCAGGTGAAGTGAAGACGATACAAGGTGATAAATAATGTCTAAGTAATGCTTCTATATTATAGATATTCAGCAACGACTGAACATGATGAAACATGGCAGAGGATCATTATTAGTCTTCTCTGGCTTTGATGGAACAAAGGAGGAACTGGACCTCGTTTCCACTAATTTCTGGCTGTTCAAAGACAATGATATGGACAAGTCGTGAGTATTGCAGAGCACCGATTGCAAAGAAGAGAAAGGCAGCATTAACCAACCACAAGGGGGTGCTGCTGTATCAGAATAAACAAGAAAATCTCTCCTGCTCAAGTCTCACACATTTTTATAGATACAATCTTATTTCAGAACAAAGAAAAAACACCATAGCTGAACATTATGCTAAATATTTTATTTAAATAAACACAGTATATGGCTTATGATGTTGTTGTTTTTTTAAAGTTAAAGGTCCTTTCTTGTTCGCTACATAGGGCAGAAGATCAGTCATGTTCATCTCCTTTCGTCTGTGTTTTGTCCAGTCTCCGTGTGCTCTATTTTCCCTCTTTTCTACTTTTTCCCTTACCCACCCAACCGGCCATGCTTGAGCCTTGTTCTGCTGGAGATTTCTCCCTGTTAAAAGGGAGTTTTTCCTTCCCACTGTTGCCTAGTGCTTGCTCATAGGGAGTCACTTGATTGTTAGGACTTTCTACAGGTGAGGTGACTGTTGATGACCGGTACTACCCAAATAAACCTTGATTTAATTGAAACGGAGTTAAGATTGCTCTTTATGGGATTTATGATTTGTATTTTTTATTTTTATTTTAGGATGGAGGACTACTTTGGATTGAGCAGAGAGGAAGCACCTGATAACATCCCCATGATTTTCATCACAGTGCCATCTTCTAAAGACCCTGAAGCCAAGATAAGGCATCCTGGTACATATTAATAACAATTACTCACTATTTCTACAGTTTCCAAAGGATATTTATGAGATCTAACAAAACATATTTTAAATGAGGATTAAAGTGCTCTATACTCTCAAGACTCTTTGCAAGATTTGAATGATTTTGAATAAATAACACTGTCCATCCCTCTGCCTGAAAGAAGCTGTTTTAGCGCCCTTCCCCCTTTCTTTAAGCCATCCTTCTTCTGATAGGCTGGCTCGATGACTATATAAGGACATCCTCTCTGTTTGATACTATAGAAAGCCAGGAGAAGAAAAAAACTGTCAAAAACTGGGCATTGAGGGCAGTCTGAGGTCTCAGCTTTTTACATGAACATATGTTGACCTTTAAACGTCGAGCACGTCAAGTATTTAGCTTTAAAATAAAATATATTCTTTGGCATATTTTATACGATCTAACACAGAACTGAAAGTCCACACAAATTAAGAGTGGTGACTTGCTGTTCATTTCTACAGGAAAATCCTGCATGACAATACTCACCATGGTTAACTATGAATGGTTTGAGCAATGGAAAGACACTACTGTGCGCAAAAGGGGTGATGAATACTACAATTACAAAATGCGATTTGCTAAGAACCTCTTTGACTGGGCCTGCACTGTGTTCCCTAAAATTAAAGACAAGGTAGGATCCGTCATGTTTAGATGTGATTCTGCTGTTTTTTCTCCTGTATGTTAAATTTAATAAAAAAATATACTTTTAAGGAATAAAGAAACAAATCAAAAGCTATTGGTAATGTATACAAACTATTAATGCTTGTTTGTTGACATCAAGTAGGAAGGGTTTTGTTAAATCTGCATGTGTTGTGTTTTTCAGTTGGTTTTCCAGGATGTGGCGACGCCACTGACAAACATGCACTACCTGGGTGCTCAGCATGGAGCCATGTACTCCGCTGAGCACAACCTGGAGCGTTTCCATGCTGAGGCCGTAGCCAAAAACAGATGCAACACCCCAGTCAAGAACCTGTACATCTCAGGTATGAAAATGTGGATTTTATGCTAAAAATCATCTGCAAGAATTTAAATCGTATCAATTAGGTTTTAGGATAGAGTAAAGGAAGGGTACATAGATATATTCCCAATCATCAAATTATTTTGAATCAGCTAGAAATCAAACCAAGCGTTTTTGGTTTAATAGTTAGCTTTATGAGTATTGACAGGACTTTAATTTAAGACCACTTTTCAGTTTCACAAATAAATAATAAATTTCATAAATGAAAGGTAGAAACAGCGACACTGAGCTGTGGGCAACTTTATACACAAAAGTGACCCGTGGTCCTCAAGTTCCCCCCAAAAAATGCATACAGATTTACCGTACAGCAAAGTTTAACCAATCTTAAACTGTTGCTGCGATATAACAGAATGCAAGCTGTTTTCTAGATAACTGAATAATAAAACTTGATTTAAGCTGAAGGAAATACTACTTTTATAGAGAATATAATGCTCTTAAGCTTATCTTTTTTTCAGGCTTAATGATGAGCTGTTCTTTGAAAAAGCATAATAACCGCACTTGGTTCCAAGATTATCTGGTTCTTGAAAACCATCATCTTATTTGTGGCACTGGGAAATTGGCTTTTGAGTATAGCGTTTACAGCTATCTGCAGAAGCTTGTAAAATTAGATAGGCTAATCCCTTTTAATCAATATAAGTCCCTTTTAGTGAACAATGTACAGTTTTCTTGGAACTGACATTTTTCATGCTGATGTCCTTGCCTTCTTGGTATTATGTATATGATAACTTTATGGGTTTTTATTGCTTTATTGTATTTTCATGCACTCAGCGCCTTTTCCTGTTTAAATGAAAGGTTCGAGAGGAGGTGGAAGGATAGTAATTGACTAAGATAATGCTTTTAAATATGACAGTTTACTTTCGCTGTATCTGTTAGCAGCAAATAAGTCGCCTTTTGCTGGTGACTACAATGGTGCTATGAAAACATGATCATAAAAAAGTCCCAAAGCAGAGACGGATATATTATTGGGGGCGATCGTGGCTCAAGAGTTGGCAGTTCGTCTTGTAATCGGAAGGTTGCCGGTTTGACAGTCTCGGTCGTTGTGTCCTTGGGCAAGACACTTCACCCGTTGCCTACTGGTGGTGGTCAGAGGGCCCGGTGGCGCCAGTGTCCGGCAGCCTCGCCTCAGTCAGTGTGCCCCAGGGCAGCTGTGGCTACAATGTAGCTTGCCATCACCAGTGTGTGAATGTGTGTGTGAATGGGTGGATGACTGAATGTAGTGTGAAGCACTTTGGGGTCCTTACAGACTAAGTAAAGCACTATACAAATACAGGCCATTTACCATTTATTTAAGAAGCTTCAGAAGAAAGAACACACCGATTTGAATCTGTCTTCCAAGTAATGTCTCATACAGAGGTATGCATGTGTGGCTGTGTCTTCCAGGCCAAGATGTGTTCAGCAATGGGATAGCTGGTGCTCTGCATGGTGGACTCCTCTGTGCCTGTGCTGTGTTGGACCGCATTATCTACATTGACTTGCTCCTCCTCAAGAAGAAGCTGAAGAGAAGGAAAGCCAGAGAACTGGCAAAGCTGGCTCAGAAGAAACTGCAGTGAAATTGCTCTCTTCTTCCCCTGCAGGACAAAAACGGAACTACACAAGTAGGGTATAACAGGACCCTGAAATATTGTGGGAAGCTCACGAGAACACAACACTTGTTTAAATTCTCAAATCCTAATTTTTTACATTAGAATTCACTTATTTGATGGATAGGATGTCTTGTTTTTATTAAGGGAAATAATCCATTTGCAATTAAGACTCAAATTTAAATAGATTTTTATTCTTTTGTTGTTGTTTTTTGTGTTTGAAATGATCATTATGACTGCGGCAGATACTAAAATAAAGTCTGTAGCCTGCTGGTTCACTCATAAAAATCATATTTTGCATCATATTTTGTCACACTAACACATCCATTTCTCACCTTGTTTGGCTTTAAGGTTTTCATATATGCTAATCACAAATTATCTTAACAATATATTTAATAATCCATCAAGTACTTACAGATGTTTTAAGTTGTGGTTGTTGTGCTGTTAACAAATACTGAAAGCAATTTTAAGTAAACTGCAACGCTGTATTATTTAAATCAATATTTCTTAGGGGTTGGGATGGTTTTATGAGAAATGTGTATATATTCGTACTTTTTTGTGTGCACATAAAAAAAAGATGCAGGATTTTCACAAATTATCGTATCAATCTTTCAACAATAATTATTTTATAGTGTTGTGTCAAATAGGTTATTATTTTTGCTGTTTATTTAAAGATCTTTTACAGGTGAACTGAGATTATAAGGCCCCTGTGGGTTTAGTTCCCACCTATGTTGTTCTGACCTGACTTCCAAACCCTCGTTTTGTTTGTTTAACTGCTGAAATCAAACATATGAGGGGAAACCTCAGACTTCCTGCAGCAAGTGAACATTTCCTTAGTAAACGGTGGGCAGATTGGTTGACAAGCTGTGGTTTGTAGAGGACGACTGGGGGGATCCGAGGAGAAGAATGTCCCCTCTGTCCAGGCAGACGGTGGTATGCCAGCACCTCTTTCCCTCCCTGTCAGCCTCCAGTCCCTCTGCTCTACAAACCCTGGATAAGCTCCTACTGCAGTTAAAGTTACAGTAAAAAAGCTGCAAGCTTTACTATCTTTCATACAATGCTTTAGAATAAAAGGGGCCAAAATTAAATTGAAGGAATGAGGAGCTAATTATACTGACTGTGTCTTGCTGGAACTTCAGTACACCAAAACTTGTAATTACCATGGCATGATAAAGTGCACAACATCACCCAAAATAACTATTACTTTCCTACACTGAGTTCTGACTGACTCACAGACCAACTTAAATTCAGTTTTTCCCTTTTTTCAGTTCAGGAATCAAGTTTACTCATCCTTTTTTTTTTTTAGTGACGTGGCTTCACGGGAGACAGCCTGTCGGATGGCTGGCCTGTCCATTCATTTGGACCAGGCTGAACTACTGGATGCAGCTCAAGGTTCCCAGAGAAAGACTCTTCCAACAGTGTAAATTGTTGTTTTGAATGACAAAAACCACTGGACTGAAACATGTTTATGTCCCCTTCATTATTTTGTCCAACATGACCTAATTTACATGAACCTAAACTATACCACATGACCTGCAAAAGTAATTAAATGTCCATCAACCTATGCTATACTTTCTTTTCTTACTATTAATGCTAAACTGGCAGCCTTTGTAACATTACACCTGCAAAACACAAGCTGTAGATCACAGAGGAGGGTTGTACGTTCAGAATTTTCTGTGTGAAGTTGCATATTCTCCCTGTGCTAGTGCAGGTTTCTCTCGGGACCTCCAGGTTCTCCTGCAATGAAAATCTCAGTTAGTGCTGCCTACGCATGGTTAGATCTCTAACCCAACCTGAAACTAGAGTTGGTGTTCTCGTCTTCTTTAATACCATTTACCAATTTACCAATGGTAAATGGCCTGTATTTATATAGCGCTTTACTAGTCCCTAAGGACCCCAAAGCGCTTTACATATCCAGTCATCCACCCATTCACACACTGGTGATGGCAAGCTACATTGTAGCCACAGCTACCCTGGGGCACACTGACAGAGGCGAGGCTGCCGGACACTGGCGCCACCGGGCCCTCTGACCACCACCAGTAGGCAACGGGTGAAGTGTCTTGCCCAAGGACACAACGACCGAGACTGTCCAAGCCAGGCTCGAACCGGCAACCTTCACGATTACAAGGCAAACTCCCAACTCTTGAGCCACGATCGCCCCAATACAGATTACTTTATTTGGACGTTTTACAGTTCACGCAATTCTAATAATTTACACCTACTTTCAACTTATCACAAGTAAAAGTTTGTTCGTAAGTAAATCCAAAAAGTAAATAACAGAGAACAAAAACTAAAGGGGTTGTTTCCTCTCAGTTTTCACTAAAAATACAACCACATTCTGAAAAGAAAATTATGTGACCTAAAGTGGGCAGATCATAGGAGAAATTTTAGGTTTTCTTGACCAGCACAAGCACCACCTCAACCCCCTTTCTCTTTTTTCCTCTCACAGACGGCTCCCACATGTTTAGACATGCTCTTGCACCAGGAGAGGCCCAGAGGGTCAAATTTTAACAAAAGCAGTCTGTTCTTTCCACTGCTTTGACTACTCTGCAGATCTACACTGTTAAATGAGTGCTGCTGTGATTGACTGGCAGTCCAGCGACACAACCACCTTTAAAAAAAAAAAGAAAAAGCATTTGCATAAAGCAGACAGCAAACTTGCAAACACTGTAGCAGCAGGCTTGGCTCAGCGAGTAGTCATGTTACCAGGCTCTCGTTTCTGTGCTTCAGCCAGATTTTCTTCTTTTCCAGATGTTGGAGCTCCTCCCTGCTGGCCGGCCACAGCCTCCCACAGCTTGCACTCAGCCAGCAACCACAGCTGCTACCAATATGAGAACTCTGAGAAGAAAGTTTTAGGCGACACAGAGGAGAGGAAGACCCAGTCTGAAGTTTGCACTTAGGATCAGACTGGGCTTAAAGGCAAGAGCAGGTGAAAAAAAGAAAGAGCCAGCCGAGTTAGGGTCACTCCTACTTTACTAACCCATCATAGTTGATGTTCTTTAAAACCTTTGTAAGATGCATTAAATATACACCCTTTTTTTCCACCATCTAATATGTAAAGACAAAACATTTTTTGTCTTGTCTTTTTTTCTTGATTCCTTCAAATCAGTTGTTTTCCTGCTTTGCAAAGATCACAAACTTCTTCTGTGATTTCGATAAAAAGCTGATGTTTGGGGCCATCTCTCTCTGTTGAGCTAAATGGAAAATCCAAGGAAAATGGCAGCTTCCCAAAACTCTCTTTTGTCTGCATGAAAAGCCTTCCACAATCTGAAACTAGTTGTTATGTCTTTACACTTAGAGCTCACAATATCAGCTTAATCATTTTTAAAGTCTCAGTTTAAGGTACATACTATATCATTGGATAAATATCTGCCTCTTTATTTGATTAAAGCTACACTGGCTTCACTATCTAGCTACCAAGTGCTCTACAAGTAGGGTTCAACAATGGTGTTGAACCAAAGCAGTAAATCTCAGGGTAGCTGCTGAACAATGAGCTTTCCATGTTGGCTAATTACGAAAATGACTCCTTTCACACTCTCAGTTTTGCTTTTACTTGTACTAAAACATTGCCTATGTTTGCATTGAAATCAAGAAACTAACTACCAGACGGCACCAGACATGCATGCTGGCTGATAGGGTTAAAGTGCCAGCAGTTCCTCCAAGGCCACTTGAAGCTAGCTCCAAAAGTGAATCAATCCCTGTGGAATGCCACATTAAAATACCCTATTTTACCCCCATATCTCACTTTGACACAAGCGCATCTCACCAAATTTGGACACTTCTCAGACCAAAAAACAAACATTTAGGCTTTAAAATCTAGACTCCAGAAATGAATATGTGACATCATGATGACACGTCTTCCTTTTACATACAGGTTATGATAATATCAGGTAGGCAGTGCATGCTTCATGCACAATTTAATTCTGTGGATTTAAATTCAGCACAACACCTTTTTTTAAACTCACAAAAATTCTCCTTCCCAGCCTAACAGCAGAAATGAATGTGTCTTGGCAGGCCTATACTTTCCCTTTTCATCTGTTTGATATATTTGATGTAAGACTACTGCATGTTTGGAGCTTGGCTGGGAGAGAGAGCAAGAGAGAACAGGGAAGAGAGAGGACCAAGTGCCAGAGGGGCCCAAAGACAGGAGAACACTGGAGGCTAACTTTGTATATTCACATCTCTTTTTTTATGAAAGGGTAATTTTGGGTATTCATCCAGCGCACTTTTTAAAGTCAAGTGTCTATTCCTGTAATTATTACCTCTATATCGGTTAGATAGAAAACATCTGGACCGAGTTTTGTGTCCATTTATTTAAAACTCAAACAGAATAAGTTGGCGCCACGTTGCTTAAAGAAAATTAAAGTAATAATTATCTGGCAGACTAAAAAGTCACCCTCAATTACACCATGTGTTGAGCTGTACTGATGATATGAATCTCTGGCTTGAATCCATTATTAGCAATTTCTAACAGCTGAGCAATGTAACATAGAAAAAAAATGTTATCTTTTTGCTTGAATGAAAGAATTTAACTCTTTGCTCTTTCACACCCATCTGCACTATGTGACTGCAGCTCCACCTTCCAGTGGCTGCTTCGGACACAATCCAGTCTCATATTTCACCGTTTGGTCGTCACTCCAAGCCCATCCTCCACTAATGCTCATTTCCCTAATGCATCTGCATTCGTCATCTCATGTTTACACCATGAGGGAGCTTCTAAAGTTCAGGGGAGCTTATGCACTAGATGGGGCTCTTCTGTGGGTTTAATCCCAGTCAGCCCTCTTAGGCGATGACTCCTCAACACATGACTATTATAGACAGTCATTTTTTTTAATGTGGTGTTTTTCATTTTGTGAATCAGGCATCCAAGTACAGAAAGTGTTAAATGCTGCGCAGGCTGAGCAACCCTCTGGTGCACACTGTGATTGCGGGGAAGTATAAATAAACTTAATTTAACTTTTTTTCACATTTAAAATAGATTTTTAAATGTGAAAGGGTATGTTGTTGAGGTGAGCTCAAGAACAAAAATAGATTTGTTCTTGAGCTCACCTCAACAACATACCCTTTCCACATCCCTGCAAACGTGTTACACAGTTTGCTGAGACATGCTTAGCTCGTGATCTGCACGCACACCAAATGTTTACTTTTGTACTTAACATAGAGGTGGGAAACATTTGGCCAGAAGGTGGCAGACTTAATACCTTCATAAACAGTTTAAACTGAATTTATTATTATATTATTTTTGCATGTGGTACAAAAACTTCTGGACTGTTATAATTAAATATGTCCTCCAATTAATTACATCTCCACTTCAATCTCCAGCTGAGGTGCTTAGTTTTAATCTCCTCTGTGGTGTAGATTTTGTTTTCCTACTGGGAGGGGGTGTTTTCTCTGGCTTCTACTCACTGGTCCCAGATCTAACTAAAAAGCTTTGCAAATTAATGACCCCAGAGGGGTTGTACCTACATGTTTTTACTTTGGCATTCAGGCACTGTGGAAAGACAGGATTAGTTTAAACATCTAAAGGGGTTAAGGAGCATGTAGACAATTTTGGGGCTTCATAAAGGTTTTTTACCGTCACCTTTTCCTCTTTCAGTATGAGATAAAGACTAAGGCAAAGCTGGAGGTTATTATTACAGACGAGATGCTCTGGCTCATGATTCACCCTCATTGAACTCATGTGTTTGGTCTTCCAGCGAGATGAGTGTGATTAAATTTCCCCACTGCAAACGCTGCACCACAGACAAAGACATCACTGGGACCACAATGAGTGACTCCACCTTTAGCCTTCTGGTCTATAGTTTTTCCTGCAAAGTAAGTTGCCACTCCAGGACATTTTGTATCCTTCATGCCACTGAGTGCCTGTAGTTGTGCACGTATTTAAGATTTTCTGCATCATATTAGATCATATTTGTCTTTCTTATCAGTTTTCCCCTGTCTTGGGCCATTCAGCCTACACATAGAATAAAACTATATAACAAAAACAAGATATAACGGGAGAAAAGGACTACAAGTAATGATTATTATGGATAATCTGTTACATCCTTAATTAACAATTCAACTAAACTAAGTGCTAAAACGCTTAGAGGTTTGTTTTTGTTTGGCCAAACCTCTAAAAGATTCACTTTTCTATGACAAAAGATTAAGGAAAATAGATAAAAATAGACTTGTAAACAAGAATAAAAGCTTAAGAAATCATTTGTTGCGCCTCTAGAGTTGGTAACAAAATAGAAAACTAAACAGATGAATAAAAAATTGATTAGCAACACAAGGAAATTATTTGAAAACTGAGCACTGATGTTATTGAGCTTGTATACCTAGCTGAAATGTGTGTGGGTGGAATATACATAGCTACAAGTGATATAAAGGAGTAGGTAGCATACTTGTTATGGCTTGTAATGCCCCGAAGGTGCTGGAGACAAGGAGTGCAGGAATCACTTTCCCTCTGTTTGCATAGACACTCACTCACTTAACAGTGAAATATGTTTACCTTTGATCTACATCAGGTTGGACATGGGTTTAAGAATGGTAACATTAACAACAGAGAAACAAAAAGGTGGTTAAAACTCCAGAAGAAGCGAGTGCATTATTTTAATGAGACCTGTTTTGTCAAAGTTTTCTTTAGGTTAGCCACACTATAGAGTAAAATTACTTGTTTGTTATGGTTAATTTAATCTTCAAAGGTACTAGTCATAACGTAGACTACTATACTGAAATACAATATGTTCCTATGATCCAGAAAATGTTGCATGCATAAGTAAGTACAGTATCAGCTGATGGCTGAGATGATGCTCCCCACATGTCCCATGGGCAAATTTCAAAGGGTATTCTTTACAAAACCAAGGAGATTATAATTGCCTTGAGGACTAGCTATCAGCAACATGTCCCACTGGCTATCTGGAACTCTCAGGTGGAGACGGTCCTTGGGAGTTCATCTGACATTCATGCAAACCTCCAGTGATGACAACACAGTCGTCATCATGAAAGCTCAACAACGCCTTCACTCCCTCTGCAGGATGAAGAAGGTGGATCTCCCCATCCTAGTCCTGACCATATTTCACAGAGGCACCATAAACTGGAGAAGAAACAGAGAGCTGCTGAGAAAACTGCTGCCTCACATGCTGCCACATATTCAGGACATCTAGTCTTGAGGGCTGTAGATGCGGAGCAGTCAGGACTTCACTCACCGTTCACATAACTTTGTCACACTCAAGGAGCCCGCAAGGAGACACAGAAGTTTCAGATCAAGTACCAATAAACTGCTAAATAGCTCTCTTCCTACAGTAACATGACTGCTTAACCAGAGAATGTGAACAGATATTTTTTTAGCTTGCAGTAATATTTATAACAATTAAACACTGATTATACTTGTTGTTGTTTAGAACATTTTACCTGACACTGATATGTGAAACCCTGTCCGTCTCAGGATGCACAGGCGTGCACTTAAATAGAATCACAGAGGTTGTGAATATATGCTAGTATGCTGCTTTTAATTGAGCTTTGAGATAAATTATATTTTAAAATGTGCCTTGCATAGAAGATAATGTAATAACTTCGATGAATGCATCTATACTGGTATATAGAATGTTTTTGTGCGACTAACCAAAAATCCTTGAGCCTGTTTTCATTTTTTTTCCTTAAAGTTTTGTTTCCGAAGCTGAAGTCGCAGTGCAGAGCATAGTACAGCCAGCCCTGCAGCTGTAAGTGCTTCCAGATGCTTAAAGAATTGAACTCATGTGTGGGACAGAACAAAAAGATGTTTCCCTCATTTATCCAAGTTATCCCCTGTTGCCGTCCCCTTTCTTTTGCTTTTTTCAAATACATTTGTAGAACATAACATTTAGACATTAAAATGTAAAAAGAAGAAGCACTTTTCTAAAGCAATGACATCAGAAGAGATATCAAGAGAAAGGTTTTGAAATAAAAAAGAATCCTGGTTAGAAGTGGGAGGAGTGCTGCAGGGCTATAATCTTTTCTTACACTTTACTGCTGTGAACGACACAATAAAAACCTCTGCACGTGACCAGAACTGCACTGCATAAAAAATGACAGCCCTGCTTCGAAGTGCAAAGACAAACTGTAGGATTTCATGGTGTGGCGAACGTCTGCCTGCAAAAAAGTCCCATAGACAAGTCAAACAGAGTTGGGTGGGATCGAGGCTGGGTTTAATGGGTGGGAGAAGGTGGAGACCGACACTAGGTCTGCACTGCTACCTCGTGAACTCTGATGATGCCCCAGGGTGGCTACTTTTTTTTTGACTGGGTGCTCCTCTTCCTCTCACTGATGTTAAAGGGGAAGCGGGAGGGGGAGTGAAGAGAAATCAAGAACTTCAGCAATGCACAAGACAGGTAGAGACAGGACCGAAATGAAAGAGAGAGGGAGCGAGAGAGAGAGACTACAAAATGTGTTTGTCGAAGTCAAGAGTGAGGATATATATGGTAGAAAAAGACAAACAGATCAGGTGTAAATAATAAAGTCTTGAGCTGCAATATGTGTTTACTGGTAGTTCATGCCTGTGCTTCTACAACTGCAAGTAGAGCGAAGAAACAGCAGAATATGATATTAAACTACATCAATCTTTCTATTGCAGATGATAGGGAAAGCAGATTGCATTCAGTAATGGTGTCTTGTAAAGCGGCTGAGCTCCAGGAAAACTGTGCAAAGGAGGAATGCAGACTGCTGAGTGTCTCGACATGTTGAGAGGGAGAGCAGCAGTGGACGGAGAGGAGTCCAGCGCTGGAGTTTTACACACTCCAGAATCTCATGTCTATGATCTCTACGGATGAAAAGCTTTTAAAAGTCTTAGCATGATATCTTCCTTGATATCACAGAAGCCAGTTCGTAATCTCAAGATTTTTATTTACATGACCCAGATTGTTATGGTGTCACACATTGTAATATAAAGAGTCCTAAAGGCTCAGCCTAAAACAGTAATTAAAATCTGAAGGCGCAGGAAGCTTTGGATAGATGTGGGTGGCCACCATCGTTATCAGGTTAAGTACAAGCATTGAACTTAATGAAAAGTTTTCCCCCTGATGTAATTCCACCACCTGAAGCTGACGCACCCACTTTTATTCTAACATTTAAGTTTCTTTTACCTTAGCACTAAGTGACATCACATTTTAATAAATGTCATCTGAGTATTGTATCCTGTTAAACTACCATCAAATTCTTTCCTGGGTTAGACAATGTGCTTTAACTAGGACCATCTGTTTTAAATGAAGCCAGATCTTCGATGCATTGCAAAGATGATTCATTCTGTTCAGACTCTCCCTCACAAAAGGTTTCCTTTGCTCAGCGATCGTGCGCTAAGGAGCATATTTTAAAGCATAATTTGTTCTTCTCTTCACGCACCTTCTTTTCATATACCTTTTCTTTTTAAATGGTGTAGTACTGCATCAATAACAAAGCAGAACTAACACTAGAAACGCGGGCATCAGGGGGTAAAATAGGCACATAGTTATCCCCCATCACCATAAACTGATCAAATTCAGTTCTGCCCGAACTGCTCCTCCTTCCCTTCTCCCCCCCCCTCTGGTCGATTTTAAGATTTTAGTTTTTTGTTCCTCCTCTTTGCTCCTAAGCCAAGTATACTCCCTTTGTTGATGTGGCAGGCCTGGGAAATGAAGAGTTGATGCTTCATGTTAGGCAAAGACAAGCACCT